TATATCTCTTAGAAACCAAATCATGAACTTCAAACAACATGAGCAAGAACATGTTGCACAATCTTGGGAGAGAATGAAATTAATGATTAAAAATTGTCCCACTCATGGATTAAGCTTATGGATGATAATAAAAATGCAGGATTGAATTTTGTATGGAGAAATCTTCTAGATTCTGCTACAGGATGTACATTCATGGGAATTACATTAGGAGAGGCAACCAAGCTTCTTGATAATATGACCGCAAATTATTCCCAATGGCACACCGAACGAGCTCCAACTTGTAAGAAGGTAAATTATGTCAAAGAAGTTTCTACTTTGAGTGATAAAATGGATGCTCTTATGAATATGCTTGCTAGTAAAAATGCTCATGTTGATCCTAATGATATCCCATTATCTACTTTGATTGAGCAAAATAACGATACTATTGATGTGAACTTCATTGCAAGAAATAATTTTAACAATAATGCTTATAGAGGGAATTTTAATCCTAGACCATATCCATTCAATCCCTCTAATATTAATGATCCCCGTGGTAGCTCTTATAGTAAAAGGTTGTTTGAAATTAAAAAGGCAACTAAATTTTTTATGCATTCACAGTATGAACAAAACGTGCTATTTGCTAAGGAAATTAAAGAACACTCTACCTTGCTACAAGCTATTAACAAATTTTTTGATGAGGTCAATCAAGAAGTAGCCAACCTTCAATTACAACTTGCTCGGACTGAAAATATGATAGGGAAGATTTTTGATAAACAAACAACACTAGTGAATAAAATGGCTGCTAAACCGGAATCACATCTTTTAATAGTGAGGATGAAGATATTAAAACTATAGGAGTCTCCACTATAACTTTTTTACTAATATAAAACTTGATAAAAAGGGACAAGAGATGAGTCAACTTTAAGTAGAAGGTGTCTCAATTGTTCGAAGGTTGATGATCTTAATGATAAAAACTACAAAAGTGGGTTTGAAGAGGTCAAAACTTTAGATATTGATGTGCCCACTACTTTGGATTACAAGGACTTTAATTACGATAATGTGTATTTGATTGAATGTATTTCCTTGTTACAATCATGATAATTCACCTAATGCTTATGAACAGAATAAATCTTCTACTAGACACGTTGTAGAAGCCATGATTAAAGCTCATCAAGAAAAACTAGAATTGGAAGTGTCAATACCAAGGAAATTACAAGATGAATGGGAACCTACTATTAAAGTTAAGATTAAAGATTATGAATGCAATGCTTTGTGTGATCTAGGTGCTAGCGTCTCTACTATACCAAAAACTTTATGTGACGTTCTAGGTCTCACCGATTTGGATGAATGTTCTTCTAACATTGTGTCCTCAAAGTTGCCGGCATAGACATGCCATGATCTGGAAAATGTAATCATTATGAAATACCTGAGTTAGTCTTAGAGGCAAGACTAGGAATACATTTTACCGTACTTGCATATGGGTTTTCCTCTAAGACTTTATGGATATACGGACTCAAGGACCATTGCAGGTATAGCATGGAATATAAACATAATTACGAACATGAACATAAATAATAACATGTATTATTGACTCTATGGCATATTTCCTACAGCCTCCACCGAGCACCACCATTGGCACACGCCCTCGCAGCTCCTCTTCGCCTGAGTTGGCCACGCCGCCTCACTGCAATCTGATTCCAGCCGCAGCAGCCACTCCTCCTGTGTACCCATCGGACTACACCATAGCCGCTTCAGCCTAGTGTGATACCATGTAGAAGCGGGAGAGGTGTACCTCGTCGGCCCTCTTGATTGCACTGGCAGCTCGCTCGGTCATGGCGGGCGCCCTCAGGGAAGACAACGACCAGCGCCTCCTTCTCTTCTAGGTCTTGCACATGGGCTGGGCCTTATGGGCCAAGTGAAGATGGGCCAGGCCCATACCGGTTCAACACTCCCCCTTTCTCCCCCTGGCAAGTAGCTGCAAGTAGCAGCAGACATTGCGACCTTCTCCTCTCCATTCAGCAACAACAACGACAGCTTCAGGAAGCAGCAGCCTCAGTCGTAGCGGGAGCAAAAACAGCAGCAGTAGCAACACACAGTAGTGCAAACCACCACTAGCAGCAACAACACAACACTTCAATCAGTAGCACCACCCTCTCAGTCCCTCAGGCTTTGATTGGTAGAAGTGCATTAGGGAGGTGGGGATTTCAGGGGATTTGGTGAATCCCTTCCTTCCACCCAATCCCCTCAAATCCCCTTGAAACCCCCGAACCCCTCCAGCCACAGTCCCCTCCATATGAAAAACTTGTTTGGTAGGCAGGGACTGCCATATTAAAATAAGATAGTGCAAACATCTAAAAATGCAATCTTTACATGTAAGACAACATCATATTAAGAAGAGCTTGCTACAAAATTGTAAAGGTCACCTAATAAAAATGTTACCTGATGAAACTTGCTACACGTGAATAATCTTGCAGCAATTCTTCACAGCAACAACATAATTTTGCATGACTTCGGATCAATATCTCATCCCAACAATATCAATTATATCACAGCTACAACATGATTTATCATAAGAGCATGACTTGGAATCAATAATATCTCATATGTGATCTTTCACAGCAACACCATAATTTTGCAACAACCATAATGCAGTACAAGACTTGTGCAATAGCTCAAAATCAGTTATATTTTTACAGACCAAACAACACTAAGAATGATGTTGCCATATAGATGAATTGCTCTTAGATCATCCAGTTTTTGAATGGCCAAAAGTTTGTCCAGATTGTTTAGTCTTGCTTCTCTAGTTGCCTGAGAACCTAATTATAAAACAAAAGCAGAATGAGAGTGACAAAACTTAAATAGGCCAACCTATGTTCTAGTATTCCAGTTAGCTCAACGAATTACCACATACTAATATACACAAAATGCTAGGTACTCGAGAACAAAATTATGTATGCTAATCTACAGAATGGTCACCAACCATAACTTATGAAGACCAGAGGTTTCAAAGCTCGAGAACAAGTCCAGTATATGACAAAGTAATAAGCCACATATGCCTCAACAAGTGTAAATTTCTTTCAAGGTTCATGAACATGTCCATCATATATCACATGTTTGGCTTGGAAAAAGGTTACACGGCAATGAAAATACATGGGATTTTCTTATTGTATACCCTGGCCCAAAGATTTCCAGAATACATTGTTCTAATTACATATTTCAGGTAGCTACTTCCAATTTGATAGTGCCACGATAGTGACAATCAGAGTAGTGATTATTTATTTCTTGATACCACATCCAAAAGCCAACAGAACAGACAAATAACAGCTTGAATTAAATTCTGACCAGCTTCCCTTTATTAAAGAATCATTTTAATATATGAACAGAGGCGGAACAAGCAAATGGGTAGAGGTAGAACAGAGGCATCAAATGTCAATTGAAATACTAAACGGGTGTGCTGCTAGCAACAGAGAAGATGGTTGTACAAATAAATGTCAGTCAAATTAATACTCTGGTCTCCTGCAAACTGACATTAATGGACAACAATGTATGTGTTCATTTGCCCTAGAATTAATACCCAGCTAGGAAGGAAATACCTATATACGTATTACCCTGGATTTCCTGAAAGGATCAGCTAGCAAGGGTATAAATAGCTCCAAGTAAAGTTTTTACATCAAAACAAAAGTGACCATAACTGAATCAGGTCCCTATTACATTTCTATAGCTATGACTCATGGGAAAACATACAACCCATAGTAAACATTTCTATGTTTGAGATCATTGTTTCTAAAATTCATCAATTGTTTCTAAAATGATCCGTACATATCTTGCTACAATATGACCATTTAAATGTTTCTCAGTGGTAATTTTTTTCTTTTAAAGGAAGTTCTGAGTGTCATAGGCTCATGGCATATGGTACGACCTCAAATCAATTAATATAGGAAATAGTTCCAGCCAGAATAATTTAGGCAACAATCCTACTGAAACCAAACTTTTGGGGTTGTGTGAATGCCCTGCCTAGGCCTGATAAGTGTAACAGACGGCTCCAGGCAAGAGTAACAATGTTCAATAGACATTTGATGCTCAGGAAAGCAGGGCAACTTTCAGAAGGAGAAAGATGCATACATTTAATACTTACACATTAATCAGCACCAACATTTAAGAGAGCTGAGAAAAAAATATAACATCAAGTATCTAAGTTTATAGATTATCAAGTGCTGACAAGATATTAAAACATCCAGTGAACTGAATCAACAGGGTATGTAGAACAGACTAACAGGACATGAATAATTCGACTAGGCAATTAATATCTATCACTCTAACAAGACCAGTTTCACACGATTATAGTTAGCGACCATTCTAAATATCTATCACTCTATCAGTTCAGGTGGAGGAGTTCTTATTCTATTTCTAGTGGCATACTTCAGCAGCAAAATTTTCAGTAATTTTTGTTGTACAGGTGACTGGTGTATTGGGCCTATTGGCATATCTGAACCAGTTGCAAGGTAACCCAAAGAAAATTTCGATCAGACACTCATCATTCTCCACAGATCAATTCAGGTAAATCTGTAGTTCAATTCTCTGTCTCTTTATTTTTTGATAAAAGAGAGCTCTCTCTCCGATTTCCATTAAGTGAAATCACCATGTCTTACAAGGAAAGTAAAAGAATAGAAAGCTACGATAGCAAATCTCTACGAGCGTCAGACTATTGAGGGAGGGGGAAAGCCATCCCTCCCCCCCCCCCCATTTTGCCCCCAAAGCAGCACCTCACAAGAGATCTAAGGCCTGGGCATAAACAGGTCCTAGCACCCGGCTTAAAATGAAGTTTTAGAAATAGAAAGTAGTTCAAAGAGGCAACATAGACAGCCCCCTCTAACAGGTATCCATCATCATACATTTATTTCTGCCCCGAGAAACAAAAGGCTGAAGAGCAGGATGAAACAGAAGGTAAGTTGATGCAGCTTGTTGAAGCGCCCATCTTTTCTTGCAGCACCAGAGAGTGATCCCGAAGAGTTCGAATCTGGTCACCCAAGAATTCTCCTAGTCTCCAGACACCATCCATGTGCTGCTTTAAACACTTCTCTAGCCACCTCACCGACTTGTTTCACTCCTGCCTCCATCATCTCACTTCTTGTGGGGTTTTCCTGCAAAACATTCCAATCATGCAAAAAAATTAGAAGCAAATTAACAGGTACACAGGGGTCATTCACCCTTTTGTTATCAAATACAACACTATTTCTTAATTTCCAAATAGTCCAGCATATCGCAGAAATTCCGATCATAACCAAGACCCTCTCATCTTTGCCAAAAGTCTTTACCCAGTTTCACATTACCAGGTCTAGGTTTTCTGCAATGTCATTTAAATTGAAGGCACATTTTAAAATGTTCCATAATAACCTAGCAATAGAGCAGGAAAGGAAGAGGTGGTTTATACTTTCTTTATGCCCACAAAAGGGGCATTTTTTATCACCTATCCACCCCCTGTGCAGAAAGTTATCTTTTGTAAGAATGCTATTTCTAAGAGCCAACCACTTAAAAACTTTGACTCTGTAAAAGGATTTTACAGTATAAATCCATTTTTTAGTCAGTGTCCATTTCACTTTATCTTTATCCTCACTCAGAGTCACCGAGCTGCAAGCTTCTTTGATGTGTTCCCAAAGTTCTATTGAGTTCCCTGTCAGAGTTCTCCTAAAATGCATGTTATCTATCCCATTATCCAAAATCTCCTTGATTGTTTTCTTCTTATCAAAACATATATTATATAACCTAGGAAAGTTTTTTCTAAGTGGAGCAGATCCAATCCACCAATCTTCCCAAAAATGAATTTTTTCCCCATTTCCCACTGTGAACTTACACAAAGAAGTAAAATGATTTCTATGTTTCAAGATCTCCCTCCAAAACTAAGAGTCCCCTTGCTTGGCAGTTATATTACTAAGATTTTTTTCCGAGGTATTTTTTCAAAATGATATCTTGTCACAGCCCCTCTGTTGTCTATAGTTTCCACCACCATTTACACAACAAGGTTTTATTCAAATGGGTAAGGTTTTGGATCCCCAGACCCCCCATATCTTTCGGCCTGCACACGTCAGACCATTTGATTAAATGATATTTTGGTCTCTCCTGCCATAAAAGCCTGGCTCTGAAGAAATCCATACGTTTGTTCACCCCAATGGGAAGCCCGTAGAATGACATTATAAAATAAGGTATGACTGTCAAAGAAGACTGGATTAACGTAACCCTCCCTGCACTGGCAAGTAATCTGCCTTGCCAAGTTTCACATATTCTCTCCAGTTTGCTTTCAGGAGGTCTCCATTTTTTATTACCAATTCTGTTTTTATCAATTGGTAATCCTAAATATTTCATAGGCAGAGCACCTATTGGACATGTAAGATCTTTTCATATTCATCTTGTTTATCAATGGCCTCCCCAAATAAAAACAACTCACTCTTATGAAAGTTGATTTTCAGACTAGACATTTGCTCAAAGAGGCATAAGATATATTTCAAGTTATGATCACTATCTAGATCATCTTGCACTAAGAAAATAGTGTCATCTGCATATTGTAGGATGTTGACCCCGTTTGGAACATTTTCATTTAGTACCCCTTTCACCAGACCACTTTTCCTAGCATTATCTAACATAATAGCTAGTGCATCAGCAGCCAAATCAAAATTGAGAGGTGACAAAGAGTCCCCTTGCCTCAGCCCTTTGTGGGTAAGAAAATATTTTCCTAAATTTTCATTGACCTTCACACAAACTTTTCCCCCTCTAATGATTTCCATAACCCAGTCTATCCATTTATCTGGGAATCCTTTTAGTCTGAGCATCTGAAAAAGAAAAGACCACTTGATTTTATCATAAGCCTTTTCAAAATCAATTTTCAATAAGAGAGCACTTTGCTTCCACTTTTTTATACTATTTAGAGCTTCATGTAAAATTAAGACCCCTTCCATAATATATCTGCCCTTGACAAAAGCAGTCTGAGTAGGAGATATAACATCAACAGCCACTAAATTCAACATGTTCATCAATACTTTTGTAATAATTTTAAAGCAAACATTTAGTAGACCTATAGGTCTAAATTTTTGTATTTTGTTGGCATCCTTACCTTTAGGGACTAGAGTTATAATCCCATAGTTCAATCTGCTAATATCAATTTTTCTTCTTGCAAAATCATCCAACAGGGCTTTGAGATCATATTTCACCAATTCCCAATAATGCTGATAAAATTCAGTTATAAATCCATCCGGGCTAGGTGATTTGTTATGTGCCATTTTAAAGACCACCTTCTTAATTTCTTCCAAAGAGAATTCTCAGTCAAAATATCTCTATATCTATCTTGTATCTTGTCTGGGTTATCAACCTTTAGAGAGACTGAAGAGTCATCAGGGGGACCAAATAAGTTTTTTTTAAATGCAGTGATGTAATCTATTAGATTTTTATCTCCCTCAATAGTCCCCTCATCCTACTCCAGTCTATTTATTCTATTTCTTCTATGTCTCCCATTAGCTTTAGCATGGAAGAATTTTGTGTTACTGTCCCCCTATAAAATTTCATCTATCTTAGCTCGCTGTCTCCATTTAGCCTCTTCCTGTTGAAGAAGTCTATCAAGTTGTGCTCTCAGCTCCACTTGTCCTTTTCTATCACCAGCTGTAAGACCATTTATTTCACAATGTTTATCAATAATATCTAGTTTCATCATAATATCTTTTTTTAACTCTATATACCAGGCATTCATATTTCTGTTCCAACCTTTTAGTTTAGGTCTAAGAAACTAAATTTACCTAGAAGTCAGTTTATACTGTCACCAATAACACTTGGATCATTCCAAACCTCCTGGACAATTTGATCAATCCCTTCCCTTAGAAACCAAGCATTTTCAAAACTGAAAATTGGATCAGTTTTTTTGTATATCCCCAGAATCTAAGAATAGAGGAGTATGATCAGATTTCTCTCTAGTCAAAGCTGTAACCTGAGTTAAAGGGTAAGCATCCTCCCATTCTGTACTACACAGAATTCTATCTAGTTTTTTAAAGCTGGGAATAGGTAAATTATTTCCCCATGTAAATTGTCTCCCATTCATCTCAAGCTCTCTAACCCCAGCCTATTTTGGAATGGCATTAAACAAAAAAACTCCAGTGCCCAAGAGATCCTAGTTTGTTTTTTCAGTGGCTTTTCTAATGATGTTGAAGTCACCCCAATCAAAATGGGGTTAACACATTGTTGAAATTTTTTGGACAACTCAGCTAGAAAGATTGCTTTTCTTTCTGGTTGAGCATCTCCGTATATCACCACCAGGTCCCATATCAATCTTGTTTTCGAATCTTAGACTGTCATTTTGATGTGATAATCTCCTTCATCTTGTGAGATCACCTCCAAAGTGGTATCGTTAACTCCCAACAGAAGATCACCAAATTCCCCCCTAGCTGGGGTGAAATGCCAGTGAAAATCTCTGTCAGCATAGATTTGTTGTAGATCATTTCTAGAAAATTGTTGTCTCACAGTCTCTTGTAGACCCAAGAAGTCAACCTTCATGTACACAATCATTTCCCTAAGGAATCTTTTTTTAATGTCCCCCAAAGCCTCTCATATTCCAAAAAATACCTCTCATCTTTTTCTCCCCTCTTTCTTAACAAAAGATTCTAGAATTTTTACAACAGAGACAGTTTTAACTCTAGAACCTCTGGTTGGTTTGCCTCTGTTTTTTCCTTTTTTGGATGAAAAGAGTCCCCTCAGTAAATCCCAGTTCTCTTCTTCCTCTTTATCCTCATCATTCTCCCCCTGATCCAATAAATCCTCTAAGGTGTGTTCCCAAGTGTCAATAATGGCAATATCCTCAGGTAAAGAAGTTTATTTTTTATTTTTATTATAATCAGCCAACCACATATCAATTCTAGCCTGGTCAACAGTTTTTATCAATTTTAAGTTGAGTCTAACCACATCAAGTTTATTACCCAAGTTAACCCCCACCCCCTCAGCAATTTTCTGAAGGAAAATATGAGATCTAGATAAAATTCCAGAAGATGAAGGCTCACCATAGTTATCTTTTTTGGCTGCTCGCTCCTTGGCCAGCTCTGTGAAGTTGCCGTCATCCTTCCCTCTCAATCTAGCACATCTCCTTAGCTCTTCCTCTTTGGATTCTAGTTCCCCTTTCTTAGATTTTTTCACTTTGGTCCCAAAGGAGTCTGTCTCCTAACTGGCACTGTAATCCACTCGCTCCACATAACCTAGCGCAATAGCCTGATCTATCAGTTCTAAATCTAACATATCTTCCCCATCCGCCTGCTTGTGTTCTGCTGCCATTTCATCATCAAAAGCTTCTTCTTCTTCTCCCATCTCAATGTTTTTTTCACCTGACTGGGACCCCCTCACTTCCTCATTTGCTTTCAGGTCAATTTGCAATAGTTCATGTTGTCTTCTGACCTCCTTCTCCAGGGTTTTTCTTATGATTTCCATTTCTTTCCTCTTCTTCTCTTCAAGCATAAGTTGTGCAGTCTGTCTAGCAGCTAGCTCCTCTGCTTTTTGTAATCTCACCATCAAGCTGTCTTCTCCCCCTGTTCATCTCCCACTGTCCTTGCTCCCATTATCTCTTTAGTTGCTCCACTAGTTTGACCTGTGTCACTAGTTCTCAGGACCATTTGCTCATATTGTTTTAGCCCCAGGCTTCCCAGACTAACATTCTGTTTTCCAGTCTTAGTCTGTTTGCTCTTCTTCTGTACATCATTCTCTCTTTGTGCTTCAAAATTTTCCAGGTCTAGGTAATCAAAGATTTTCCTTTTATTCCCCTCATCAAATTTGTTCCAGCGATGTTCTGCAACAGAGTCAAAATCAAAGCCTATGTCATGTAACAGCAAGTCCTTTGTAGTTATCTCAGTTCCAGCAGGGATCTTGTGTAAGTCCCTCACTCCCACCTTCACCCTGATTTCTTTCTTAGAATGTATATGTTCCACATCCACTTCCACCCCAGGCCCCAAAGCTGAACCAATTTCACATACACCCAGATAATGTCTCAATGTATCAGGCACTCCCCACATCTTGATCCACACTGAGTGAAGTTTTCCTTTTACTTTATCATTTGGACTCCAAAAGTCTACCTCCACCATAGCTCCTGTACCAAGCAGAGTGAATTTTCCAAAATTCTTCAGCTCCACCAATTTGGCCTTGTTAGGAAATCTCATGAGAAAGGTTGTGGGGCTTTGAAATTTGGCTCTCCAGGTCCACCCCCAATCAAACATTTTGCTAAATCCATAAGCAATTGTGGTTTCATTTAGTTGCCCAGAGTGTATTGTAACCAAATCCATAGGGTTTGTGTGTTCAGCAGCTACTATGTATTTTGTATCTTGAACCAGAAGACACCCCAGGCCCCTAGCTCCATACCCAACATACTTTGCAACTAGTTTAACTTGTTTTAACACAGTGCATTCTTCAGTATTGTGAGATGGCCTCTGACACACCACACAGAACACCTTGTTTTTACAGTCAATCTTCAGATGTCCCTGTTCTTTGCACCTGACACGGAATAGCTCTTTATTATTCCCTCTTTCCTTCTTTTTTGCTGCCTCTTTAGCCCCTTCCTCCCCCCCCCCCCTTGTGTCTGTAAGATCTCCTGTTTTGGAATATTTGAGAGCAGTTACTGATATTGCTGAGCCATTTGTTCTTGTGGTATGAAGCCAAATTGCCGAACACCCATGCCAACAGGTACCATTTGTGGGAAGTTGTTGTTGCTCATCATTGGGAAACCTCCAGCCATCTGAACATGTCCACCCTGCATTCCCATCTGCTGCATATTGGGATTGCCAACAACAAACCCATTTCCAGGGCCTGTCTCCCCAATCCTAGTCTGAGATCTCTCCTACTGATTCCTAGATCTACCTGAATTGAATCTATCTGGCTTGTTGTTGTCATCATCTTTGCCATGCCATTTCCTGTCGATGCTCCTTCCCCACCAGATCCACTACTATTTGTCACAGATCCCCCTCTAAAGTTTCCACCTCTGTTTCTTAGTCGTAACCATCCTGATCCCTCGGATCCTACCTGTTGAACCCTCTACCAAAGCTACCAGACTTGCCATAGAAATTACCTCTTGCACCAAGGTTGCCCCCTCTCCCTGGTCTTGGTCTCCAATTATCCTGCATGCCTGCCATGGTCTCCTCTTCTTCCCAGTAGATTTCTTCCTCCTCATAATTCACTCCCCGGCTTGCCGCCGCCGTGTCCTTGTTAGGGTTTGGCAGGTGGAGGAAATCAGGTTATGGGATGTAGGATGGGATCCCTCCTTTATATAGGGCCTCTCCCCCCTCTCCTTCTTCTAGGCCACCCCCACCAACCACTTTTTTGGGCCTGGGAACAGCAAGGCCCAACTTGCCAACTTTTCCCCAATTTCTGTGGTCCATAATGCTTCTCCCTCGTCTCTCCTCTCCTGTTTCATGCTCTGCCCCTTTCCTCTGAACTTCATCAATCACTTCTTCCAGCATAATATTTTCTGGGATTTCAATGTCCCTTATATCTTTGTGAACATTCTCAACTTCACAAAATACCATACCTCTGTTATCAATTTCCTCATCATTGAATTTTTCTTCCTCAATCTCAACATCAGTTAAATATCCAGGGAATCTGGTTAAATCCCAGACTCTGGTGGCCTTATGCCTAATTTTTATCAATGACATATCTACATCATTATTATGATATCTACCCCAATTAGCCCAGTCAATGTGTGTAAAATTATCCTGACAATCTGCCAAAATTTTAACATTCTGCCCATTATCAACCTCTGTTTCATTCTTCAGGAGCAAACTCTGAACATATGTGTTCATTTTCTTCTTCATCTTACGATTAATCCGCCTAATTTGACGCTGACTATCAATTTCATGAACTCTATCCCCCAATTCGTATGCAGGAGGTATGTAATCAAGTGCGGGGCAGTGAGCCTTACCTGAAGTGGCGACATCCTCATCAGAATCATTGCCTGAATCTTCACTAGCCAGCCTCCAGAAGCGGTTGCTGGCTAGTGAAGAGCTCAGGCATCGATTCCAGTGAGGTGTCGGAGTTGGAGGAGCCGGAGCGAATCGAGCGGAGCGACGCGGCATCCTCACCTCCTCCTGTGGTGGCTGTTCCACCGGGTCCTCGTAGATCATGATCGGAGCCATGCCGACCCTGGAGCAGGGAGGGCCAGGACCCCCTCGCGGGAATCTGAGCGCCGATTCCCTCATGGCCGGGGCAAGATCCGCGGTCTCGATGGAGGTGAAGGCCACCCACTTCCTCGCCACGGATCTCACCGGCGAATCCGCCTGATCCATCGCCCACAGCAGAACCTGCAGCGAATGCTTGTGCCCGCCGCGTCCGAAGAGCGATCTCTCTCGCTTGCTTGTGTACCACGATCCAATCTCCCTCAGACGGGCTCGCAGGCGCGCGTCCCTGCCTGCGAACCTCTGCATCTTCTCCTCGTCGATCTCCACCATCTCCGCCGCGGGCGTCTGTGAGCGAAGGAGTAGATGGGGTGTGAGGGAGAAGAGGTGGGAGACGAGGGGAATTCGGAGCGAGCTCACAAGTGTCTCCCGAATTTAATCCCCCACCGGCCGCATTTCCCCCCTCGCCGGCTCCCGAGGCACCACCCCCGTCCGGGGCCTCCCCCTCGATATACGCAACGTGGCAGGGGAACACGATCGTAGCACCAGGGACCAGCACGATCCCTCCCCCAGTACGTACGTCTGCCGTGTACCCCCGATCGTCGACGAGATGCACCCTCGCCGGGCGCGAGCTCAGGACCACCCCGTCGTGGTGGTACCTGAGAACCCTCGCCGTCCTGAGATCCACGGCGAACCACGCCGGCCATCGCTGTGTTTCGGGTTCGCCCACCGCGTCGCCAGAGAGACGTGTCGATTCGGCCATCTCCACCCTTCTCTGTCTCCGTGCCGGCTGTTGAGTCCTTGGACAAAAACTCTAATCGATTCAATCACTAGTTACTGCTTCTACAGCCTACAAAATTTTATCCAGCAAAAATTTTCTCCATGGCGACCATGTCCATGTCGATGTGCAGGCGGTGTCAAAGTACAGGAACGCAGTGAACTGAAGCGAGGAGGAAGAAGGCCGCCGGCTGTGGCCCTAGAGTTTGCAGGGGAGGGGTGGAGAAGTGGAGGAGAGGGGAGGAATCACCTCGGGAAGAACGCAGCAACAGCAAGCAGTAGCATGTGTACACAGCGGCAGCAAGCAACAACTTGCGCACGGCCGCATGCATCAAACAGCCGGCACGGACGAGCCCCCTACGCCGCGTGCATGGCAGTTGGCGCAAGCGAGGCGGCTCGAGTGGTGCTCTTGTTCAGGTCATCGGCTGGGCACTAGTGGCGTCCGGGTTCAGTGAAGCAGTTTGACGACAGCGGGAACGCATCGTGCTGCAGACGGGTTTAACGTCGATAAATAGGACATTTACATCACCGCCGCCCTCCCAATCCCGTCCGCAGCGCCAGATGGTCACCACCGCAGGGAGTCAAACGGCTCAAGCGTGCCATGCCCTGTTCAGATTCGGACTCTCTTGTATGAATCTGTACCCGTAACCAGAGCTAAGTGACCAATCTGTGTTATTTTGCAAGTTTGTGTATGGATCTGTACTCATCGTGCAAGTTTATGTATCGTAGATTCGTAGATGATATTAACTGTGTGACAAACGACGCATCAGGCAGGACAAGCAACAGCAAGCAGCAGCAGCAGCATGGCTAAAATGTGAAAGACAGAAAGCAACAGCACAGCCGCAGCACCAACAAGCAGCATAGGGGCAGCAGTAAGCAGCAGCCTCACATAGACTACCGCAGCAGCAAGCAGCAGCCTCACGTAGACTTCCGCAGCAGCAAGCAGCTCTTCCACTGCCATCTGAGTGACTTGTTATAATCCTGTATGATAATAAGGTATTAAACGCAGGATAATCGGATCCAGTGCACTCAGTTGAAAAGGAGGTTTCAATATTCAAAGGCCCATATTATTTTACGCACTTACAATGGCTCTGTCAGATCTGCATCTATAGAATCGATCGTCTGAACTTCACCATTATCTATGATCTAGCCAAACAAAATTCATGTCAACAATAGAGAAACCACCACCAAGATGGGAGATCTGGGGAAGAGAAGAAAATGAAAACCCAAAAGCCCATACCTGCATTAAAGGTGGGATTGTCTGCTACATCGTCAATGCAGGAAGAAAAAGAGAGACAAAAGAAAGCATCAGTAGAATTCAAGTCGTCACATAAGCAGCATTATTATTCCAATGACACAACGCAATTGGCCTCATAACTGAATCTAGCGGGGATCTCTTTGTTGGTCATTTCGAATCATCAATTGACTTTGCTCATTTAGCAGCATTTAGTCATCGGTGGGCTAATTGGCACAACAAACTTTGGTTATATCATTTCTTTATTTATTTTTATCTAAAACGATTTCTTCTCCAAATAAGCAGTATTACGTCACGCTGATACTATTCAAACTTCTCAGATGAACTATTTTGTCATGGCTACGTAATTATTGACCGGCCATTGAATCGTAACCAATACTTCAACTATTCAAGTTTATATCTATTCCGTGCCTTCTGAAACATTCCATTTCATTAGGTAAAACAAAATGTAAGATACCGTATATATTCTGTAGTGTCCTAAATCCTGATAAACTTTATTAATCCTAGCGGCTAACATGACAGACAAAGAGGTTGAGCGAAACAAGGATGAAACACCCCTGACAACCAATAGTTCGGTTATCCGGGCTGAGCGAAAAAAATGGTTACTCCAAATATCAGGCCTCTAATGCCGTCATTGCCCTTTCTGACATCTGTCTTCATTAAATTTCTGTCATTAAATTTCTGTCGTACTGTTAATCTTACTTGCACCATTATTCATTACACACAAGTTTCTGTAGTAGCCGATAATTAACTAAACAAACCTTTTGCAAAAAAGTTTTATTTCTAAGTTTAGCGATCTCACATCCATCCCGGTGGCTGTCCCGTGCCGATGCATGCGCGCACTCACACTTACACAACTGGTGAGACTTGTCAACAAACAAAATTATGACTTGTCAACTACAGTTATTCTTTCGATAAAGGGTAATATATTAATATCAAGATGATACTAATTACACCCAGCATCTACAACAACATGATATCTAGAGCTAGTCGAGATATCGAGGATGCACACTGCCAAAAAAAAAAGAGAAAACAAAAAAGGGACATGTAAAGGCCAAGGCAAGGCGAGCAACCCACTGGCCACTGCAGCACAACATCAACAACTACCACTGCCATAGGCGGCACAAAGACTATGAGAAGGTGCCCAATAGCAATGCCTCCAGGAAGGAAACAACATGAACGCAGTCGTCGCCAGATCCAGCCATATATGTTAGATCCTTGGTTTTCACCCAGGGGAGAAAGTTCGAGCAGACTCTAGATAGTGCCTTCAACAAGGGAGCGCAAACCACCACTGCCAGGTACAACCAATGAAGGCCAGGCCTAGGATTTTATCCCTGAAACTCGAGGCCGGGTAATCTAAGAGGACCACCGCAAGAGAAGCCCACATAGTTACCATCACCAACTTGCCATGAAGAATTCTTGCTACAATGTCCCAATCAGCAGCAGAAATGTGGACCGGGATTAGCCGACAAATCGGGCATTTGCTGAGACGTCAGATCTACCTATGCTGATATGAAGCACACCCAGACCGTCACCGGAAGACGACATATACCCGCTGGTTTGTGGGTGGGAAGTGAAGGGTAGTCTATCATGCGGGGCCGCATGGCCCCATCACATGTGTCACCTCCAATGGCCTCACCGGCCAAGCTACCGTAGCCACCGGCTCCATCGGTGGCATCACCATCTGTACCCGTGCCGAAGGGATCATGAAGGCCGAGACGTGTATGCCATAGGGAAGGCCGACCCTCACCGGATCAGGCGTGATCCACTCCGATGCAACCCCGTGGCACAAGTCACCGCCGCCATATGCCCCCGACGACCAAGATGCGAAAAGACGTCACGCCACCTATCGACCAGAACCCGTCCCCTAGTCGTTGCAGACCGGAATAGGGCCAGATCCACCATCACCACCATGCTGCCCCTGCCCCTAGTCTAGGATCTGCCGGGGCGCACACCGTTTAAGGTCGCTGCCGCTCCCTAGCCGGAGGGCTCCCCGCAGCGAGCAGCCTACACTGATTTCGCCTGTCGGCTTCCTTCGGCGGTGACGAGCTGGGCAGGACAAGATGG